TATGTCTCTTCTCTATGCATTAAGTTGTCCTGCTAGATTCATTATTTTAAAAAGCAATGCAAACGAGAGTATTTATTGAATACATCCATGAGGAAATGACATTTTAGGTAGGCCATGAGGACTGAACAGGAGTTGGCCAAGTAAGACAGAATTAAAAAGCAGTACAGTTTAAAAGCTTTGAGAAGGAGAGGGGCAAAGTAAGTTAGAATAGTTCAGGGAAGGCTGTGCAGCTGAACTGTAGTGAATGTAGATGCCTCTTAGTCATATAAGCCACGTAAGTAATTTTAAATTATTACTTGGGAGATAGGTCACACTTGGAACGCTCCTCTGGGAAGCTTAAGTAAGAAAATAGAGTCAGAGTGTTTAAACCATCACCACCAAATTATGGTCTTCACTATAATCAGCATCACTACTCTCATTTTAAGTGTTAAGTGCTAAATGAATTACATACATTTTCTCTAATTTTAACTAACTGTATATCACACATAATGGTACCATTTAACAGGTAGGAATACTGAAGCTCAGAAGTACCTGAAAAGACTTTGTTGAGGAAGTGACATCTGATTTGGGGCCAAATATGTTGTGTTAGCTAAAGAAGAAGGCAGAGAGGAGTATTACAGGCAAGGAGAATGGTATGAATAATTTAGGAAAGATTTTGACAAGATCAGATTAATGTTTTGTAAAGTGCATTCTAGCCATGGAATGGGTAGCAGATTGGAGGAGGGGACTGGAAACAGGGAGACAAGGTAGGAGAGTGTTGCATTAACCGGGGTGAGAGATCACAATAGACTGAACTAATGTCTATCATTAATGGAGTGGTGGAAAGAATGTGAAAGTTGAGGAGACTTAAGAAATATTTAGGAAGTAGAACAGGTTGTCAGCACTATCCAGTAGAACTTTAGAGAGTAGGCCGGGCATGGTGCCTCACGCCTGTAATCCCAGCACTTTGCGAGGCCCAGTTCGAGACCAGTCTGGCCAACATGGTGAAGCCCCATCTCAACTAAAATACAAAAATTAGCTTAGCATGGTGGTGTGCACCTGTAATCCCAGTTACTCAGGAGGCTGAAGCAGGAGAATTGCTTGAGCCTGGGAGGTGGAGGTTGCAGTGAGCTGAGATCGCACCACTGCACTCCAGCACTCCAGCCTGGGTAACAGAGTGAGACGCCATCTCCAAAAAAAAAAAAAAAAAAGAACTTTGGAGAGTAAAGGAAATATTCTATCACCTGCACTATTCAATAGGGTAGCCCATAGCCATGTGTGGATATTGAGCACTTGAAATGTATTAGGTTAGTGCACAAGTACTTGCAGTTTTTGCCATTACTTTTAATTGCAAAAACTGCAATTATTTTTGCACCCACCTAATTGTGCAACTGAAGAACTGCATTTTAAATTTTATTAAATAGTAATTCATTTAAATAGCCACTTGTGACTCATGGCTACTCTACTACAGTTCAGAATTGTATAATTTTAGATTGCTAAAACTTTTACATATCCTCACTTTAATTACAAGATCTTTTAGGATAACTTTGTGTTGTCTATCCAAATTTGTACACTTCTTTGGTGAGTTTGGTTGTCTTTCTACTGTGCAAACATACGTAGTATTTAATTTTACTTCTATATTTACTTATATTGTCACCCTCTTCTATATTGGTCAGTTGTCTTTTTTTTTTTACCTGTTGGAAAGTGTTAAGTCCCATTTTTCCAGGAAAGTTTTAATAGCTTGTCTTTCTCATTAATATGTATTTTCTTGGGCATCAATCACATTAGTCTATACCACATTATCTCATGACAAATCATTGCTTATTTCTTGCTCTTTCATATTCTTCACTGGTGCAATGAATTGAAGCTGGGTCTTCCAAGATACTTGGAAGGAGGGAAGATATCATTCATGTCTTCTCAATTTCTTCCTTCACCTCCACTGTTCAGCCTATAGTTGGCATAACAGCAATTCTTCAAGACAAATACTTGCTCACTACTGTGAGCCTACTCATTACAATGTATGCTACGAGATTTCTGGTTCCTTAAATGTATTTGTTCTTTTCAAACAGAAAAAGTCTAAACTAGTGAAAAAAATATATCAATGTCTTTTTTAAAATGAGGGATACATGCTATTTTAGCCTCTATTGACTATTTTAAGTAGGTAGTCCCCAAGGATGCCTTCCAACAATTCCTTCCCTCATAATATGTGCATGCTGCTCTACCCTGTAAGTCAAGTCGGTCACCCCTCTCCATCCAACCCTTACACTGGCCTTGAGACTTGCTTTGACAATTAGAAATCAGTGACACTGTGCCATTTCTGGGCCGAGGCTTTCAGAGGCCTGGCGGCTTCCACTTTGGCTCTGGGAAAGTCAGCCACCATGTTGTGGAGAAGCTCAGGAGAGACTTGAGAAGGAGGAGAAACCACAGAGCAGCTACATGGGGGAAAGGCACTGAGCTGCCAGACACAGGAATGAAGCCCTGTTGGATTTTCCAGTCCAGCCAGCCTCTAGCTGAATGCAGCCATGTGTATGACCCAAACAGCTGCTACATGGAGCAGAACTGCCTGGCCAAGCCCTGCCCTAATTCCTGACCCAAAGACTCATGAAAAAGAGTAAAATCATGTTGTTTTGCATGACTAAATGCTGGAGGGCTAGTTATATGACAATAGATAGCTGAAATATTATCATTAAAAATAATAAAAGATTCAGTTATAGTAAAACAACTAACCTTAGTTTGCTCACCTTCCTGATCTACACTCTCCCTTGACTCCTGCAAGTTTATGGCCTCCTTTTACTGAATAGCCAGTGGGTGGAGCCAGTTGACTCTGTGATAATGGAAAACAAATATCTAAACCAACCCAAGATCTTTAAAACATCATGTGAAATAAATTATATGCTTCAATATGAAGTGTGAAATTCTGAAATTTAAAAGATTTTGCATTCTATGTGCTCTCAAGTGTAAAATTTACTTTGGAAACATTTAGTTGAGACTAGGTTTACCTAAATAATCATACATGGTCCCTTAGAAAAGTGTCACTTGATTAAAATATGGATTTACTGTCCCTAGACACTTGTTCATGACAGATCTTAACTTTGTTATTATTTATAGTATTTTAAAGTTGATTTTAAAAGTGACAGTCTTCCGACTGTCTTAGCGATTGGCAAGGTGGTAATTGATGAGGTTGGTGAGACATTGATCTTACTTGGTCACAAAGGTAACTTTAAGCAAAAAGTGTTAGTGATATTGACAATTTTAATGTTTGAAATGATTGAATTGTTTACAGACTTGATCCACTTTGTATGGTTTAAAACCAGGTGGTTATCTGATCCAGAGAGAAGGCAGGTACTCAGAAAACATGTTTTGGCCACTCATCACAATGTTTTCCCTCATCTGCCACTCCCCCAAATTGAACAATTAGCCCGTTTTTGCTGTGATATAGGTTTATTTTATTTTAAGCTGTGATTTCATAGAGCAGGTCTAGTAGTTAAAGTAATTATAAAGCTATCCACAGAGGGTAGAGAACTATATATTTTCTTCAATTTCCTGAAGGTATTTTAAAGGTGAGCATACGGCAATGCTGGTATTTCTGACTTATCTTTGGCTAGGATAGTTGTTGGAGCCAATAGAACAAATGTCCCATGATGATGCTATACCCTGAAGAAATACTCAGTCCAATTTGTTTTGGATTTATATGTGAGCTGATACATCACTTGCCAGGCAAGGTAAATACATTTTATCCTTATATTATAAGTATACACTGTTTCAGGGACATGCTTCAAAAAGTATGTTCCTTTCTTTCTGTTTTGTTGCTTTCATTGGAGCCTCAACAGTGGTTTTTTTTTTTTTTTTTTTTCTTGTTTGTTTGGTCTTTCTCTTCATATGTTTTTCTCATTATCCTCTCCTTAATGAAGCTATTTTGTAAATAAGTCCTTCTGAAAATAATGTTTAATAATCATTTAATTTACAAATTGAAGTCTTCTCTAATCTTGTGAAATAATAAAAATCTCAGAAATGAAAAGAACTCCTTGATTCACAATAACCAAGATATGGAATTAATGTAGGCGCCTGTCAACAGTGGATTGGATAAGGAAAATATAGTACGTATACACCATTGAAATACTAGGCAGCCATAAAAATGAACAAAATCATGTTCTTTGTAACACAGATGCAGCTAGAGGCCGTTATTCTAAGAAAATTAATTCAGGAACAGAAAACCAAATACTGCACATTCTTACTTATATGTGAGAACTAAACTTTGGGTGCTCACGGACATAAAGATGGCAAAAACAGACACTGGGGACTAATAGAGGGGGGCGGGAAGGATGGAGGCAAAGGATGAAAAACTAACTTTTGGTAACTATGCTCACTATCTGGGCAACAGGATCATTTGCATCCTGAACCTCAGCATCACAAAATCTATCTCTTTAACAAACCTATACATGTACCTCAGAGATCTAAAATAAAAGTTGAAACTATTTAAAAAACAGAGCTCGATGATTCAGTCAGTATAAACTTTACCAAATAATGTATCTCCTTGCTAATTTTTACTTGGTCTATAAGTGCCAGAAGGAGTTTTAGCTCTTATATCTAGTACAGTGCCTAGTGCATAGCAGACATTGAATTAATGTTTGCTAAATCACTGATTCAGTGAATGATGGCTTATTATGTTGTAGTAAATGTAACTTATCTTTGATTTTTAGCATATTCCAAGGGCTTTATATTATTTAAATGAATTTTAACAAATATAAACTTTTTATTATAAAATCTCCAAAATAAAAGTTTAGACATGTCATAATTTATATTTTATTAAATTTTATTTTTAAAAATTATATTCCTTTCCGTATTGTGCTAACTATAGCAACAGAATTTGAATATACTTTCAAAGTTTTATTTAAAGCTTACTTCACTATGACGAATTTATAAGCACAGAACTTGAAAGAGTCAGTAAAATGGAAATAATAAATGTTATCGATATGTATTACTTTTCCTAGGGCTGCTGTAATGAATTACTGCAAACTGAATTGCTTAAAACAACAGAAATTTATTCTTTCACAGTTTTGGGGGGCCAGAAGTCTAAATTCAGGGTGTTCCAGGGTCAGGCTCCTTCCAAGGTCTCTAAGAAAAATCTTTCCTGGCCTCTTCTAGCTTCCTGGGGTTACTGACGATACTTGATATTCTTTGCCTTTGGTGGCACAACTTCAGTCTCTGCCTCTGTCTCCACATGGCCTTGTTCTCTGTCTGTATTTTCCAAATCTCTCTCTCCTTAAGCACACGAGTCCACTGCTGACATTACGGAAGACCTAAATAAATGGAAAGATATATAATATTCATAGATCAGAAGATTAATTTGGACCAAATGTCAATTATTCTCTAATTTGTTGACAGAATCAATGCAACCCCAGTGAAAATCTCAACAAGACTTTTTGTGGACCTTGTCTAGCTGATTCTAAAATTTGTACGAAAATGAGAAGGATTAAAAATGAAAAACTAATTTTGAAGAGGATCAAAGTTGGAAAAGTTATACTACCTGACTTTAAGAATTATTTTAAAGCTACAGTAATCAAGACTCTGTGGCATTGGTTTAAAGAAATACAAATAGGTCAATGGAATAGGATAGAGTCTAAAAAATTGACTCATAGATATATGTTAATTTTTGGCAAAGGATGCAAAGATTTTTCAATGAAAAATGGTAGTATTTTCAACAAACGGTGCTGGAAAAATCTGATGACAATATGTAAAAATAAGAACTTTGATTAGAAAAATGAAAATAAATTATAGAGATAAATGTAAAACCTAAAACTATGAAATTTCTAGGGGAAAGTATAGAAGATGATAATTTTTGTGATCTCACATTAGACAAATATTTCTCAGTTTTGACATCAATATTTTGATTTATAATAGATAAAGCTGAAGAACTAGATTCATCAAAATTAGAAACTTTTTCTCTTTGATAACAGTTAAGAGAATGAAAACACAAGCTACAGACTGTCAGAAAATATTTTGTAAACCACATGTGATAAAGGTCTTGGATACAGAATAAAGAATTTTCAAAACTCACAAATAAGGAAACCAAAATCTAATAAAAAACAAGTAAAATATATGACGACACTTCACCAAAGAAGATACATATACATATAGCAAAAAGACATAGGAAAATACGTTCAACATCATTAGTCATTAAGCCACATGAGATATTACTACACATCTGTTAGATCAGCTAAAATTTAAAAGACCATAATAAATGTTGGCAAGGATGTGTGCAACCAGATCTCTCATATACTGTTGTGGGAAAGAAAAGTAGTAAAACTATTTTGAAAAAAAGTTTAATAGTCTCTTTTTCTTTTTCTTTTTGAGACGGAGTCTCGCTCTGTTGCTAAGCTGGAGTGCAATGGTGTGATCTGAGGTCACTGCAACCTCTGCCTCCTGGGTTCAAGAGATTCTCCTGCCTCAGCCTCCGAGTAGCTGGGACTGCAGGCACGTGCCACCATGCCCAGCTAATTTTTGTATTTTTAGTAGAGATGGGGCTTCACCATGTTGGCCAGGATGGTCTCGATTTCTTGACCTCGTGATCCGCCCACCTTGGCCTCCCAAAGTGCTGGGATTGCAGGCATGAGCCACCGTACCTGGCCTTAATAGTTTCTTAAAAAGTTAAACATACACATTCCATATGATCCAGCTATTCCACTCCTAGGTACTTACTCAGAAGTAATGTAAACATATGTCCACAGAAAGAGTTGTACATATATGTTCATATCAGTTTTATTTGTAATTGCCCAAAGTTCGAACAACCAAAATGTCCATCAACAGGTGAATGGACAATTTATAGCGCATATATACAACGAAATACTATTCAGTTAAAAAAAATAGAATGAACTATTGATGCTAACATAGATGAATCTCAAAAGAATTTTGCTTAGTAGAAGAAGCCAGACCAAAAATACTACCTGCTTTATGATTCCACATACACAATTTTTAAAAATGCAAACTCATCTATAGTGACATAAAGATCAGAGGTTGCTTAGAGGGTTGTTTCAGTGATGAAAAGAGGTACATAAGAAAATTTTTGGGGTGATGGAATGATTCATTATTTTGATTTTGGTGATGGCTGCACGGAGAGATACATGAGTCAACATTTATCAAATGAGGGACGCACTTTATGTGCAGTTCATTATATATCAGTTATATCTCACTAAAGTGGAAACAAATTAGAAGTAAGTATCCCACATGTTGACTACTAAAGTTCTCAACTTTCATTTCTTCAGTAGGCTCCTGTAAAGTAAAAAATCTGGTGAGCTTAAACAAAAAATCTAGATTTCTATGCCAAATTAATTTTGAGCAGCATAATAGAAATGCCTGGAGTTTTAGGGCATTTCCAAATCGCAGTAAAGTACAGTTTAATTTGTAATAGGACAAGAGGAAGAAAAAAAAAGAAAAAGCGGTGGGTGGGGAAATCAGGAAAGGAAACCAAATAGAAACAGGGGAAGTACACTCGGCAGGGGAAGCAGCAAGACTGCACCTACACACTCTCACCCGCCTCTACAGATTCTCTAGGCAGGGGCTACAAGTGGATTAAAATGTTACAACTCAAGGTAAGTCCTCCACCGCAAAAACTGCTCCTCCCAGACTTAGCCCAACCAGCTGGAAACTCCATGCTTGCAGCGCTGAATCTGGCGGGCGGACACCCGCCCCCTCTCCATCCTTCGCCTTCCAGCTGCGCCGCGTCCTGTTCTCCGTCGCCGCCTGGTGGCGGGCGCCCGGGACCCGCAGGCCCTCGGGTGAGGCAGGACTGAAGGCGCGGGGAATAAAGGTCTCTGCAACGGAGGGGCGCCGCATCTACCTCTGGATGCTTTTGCCGCGACTGCATCTTGGCACCAGTCTTACTGCCCTGGAATGCAGTTTCCTCAACGCAGCGCTCACTCTGACTCCTCTCTGCTTTAATCCGTCAGGTCTCAGGTCTTGCGGGTGGGAGTCGGGTGAAGGAGCTGCGTTATATGGTTGTGACATCCACCCCCTGTCCCCATTTTCAGGTCAGAATTTTCATGCCTTTGGAAACGAGGGACCCAGAAGAACCCTTATTGTAGGAGGATTGTCGCCGTTAGACCTCTAAGCTCCAAAAAACCAAGGGGAGACACAATCCAGATTGTTCCCTTAAATCCCAAGTAGTATTGTTCTTTCCTCCTTAGAGTCCGCCCCCCGCCCCCACCTGTCCCATATATTGATCGGCCACTTTGCCACCGCGTTGCAAGGTTTGGAGAGCGTCACAATGCCCCACCGTCCCCAACTCTTAAGTGGCCGACGGTGGGCAGTCCAGAAGCTAGGACCAGACTCATCTGCCTGAGGGCACAGTAGGAGGGACGGAGGGATCTCCCATGAGCTCCGAGGGCGAGGTGAGAACCAATTGTGTGTGTGTGTGGGGGGCTTATAACGGGGCAGTTAGGAACCGGCAGAGGTACCCCCACCTCCAGCTTTCAACTCAGGCGAGGAAACTTCGAGACCTTCCCGTCCACACCTGATTGACAGGAGGAAGCTGTCGCGGCCCAGGAGGCGAGTGTGGGTGTGCAGAGGTAGAGACGAAACCTAAAAGCTCGCAGAGCCGGCGAGGGCTTGCAGTCCTGGACGGTACGGGTCTGCGTCTGGTGCCCCCTACTCCATCAGGCTGCTTGCTGGGTCCACCAAGCCTGACCCCTCCAGCCAGAAGGGGATCACGGAGTGTGTCCGCCGCCTGGGCTCCTGCCTGCCGGAAGGGGGCTGGGAAGCCGGGAGCCCCGCGCGCCACTTCCCCGGCAGCGTCAGTTTCACCCAGTACTGGCTCGTGGTTCCCTCCTGGCTCTGCGCGGAAGTCCGCCTCCGCCCTTCCCTCCCCCATCCTGCGCGCTGCCTCCGCCTCCTTCTTCTGCCTCCACCCTCAACCCCCATCCCAGCCTGACGGGAGCTAGCCCTCAGTCCTCCCGAGCTCTGGTTGTGAGCGCCGGACAAGTCCAAGGCGCCTCCTCCCAATATGGACAGCCGCTACACCAGCACTGCGGGCATCGGGGACTTGAACCAGCTGAGCGCTGCCATCCCGGCCACGCGAGTGGAGGTGTCCGTGTCCTGCAGGTGAGGACGCAGCCCTTCGCCTCCCTCCTGCTCTCCTATCTGCGGGGTTGGTAGCACTTGGAGAGCGCTCGGGGTACCACGAGGCTTTGCGCGGGCGAGAAGTTGCCCCATGAGTGGGAAATATCTCAGCAGTGGGGCTGGAGTTATCCTGGGTCAGGTGACACAGGGGAGTGGGAATTAGAAGCGAGTGGTGGGCTCCGGGACTGGGACTTTTTATTTTCTTTCTGGGAAACGCTGTAAAAGTTGGCTGGGCTGTGACTCAGCTGCGAGAACACCGGCCGCCGCCCAATTTACAAGCCTGTTTTCCGTCCCAAACCCGGGCTAGATGGTTGCCTGATGATCGGAATCGAAGGGGACAGCACTGCCAAAAGCGCTCGTGACCGCTGCACGCTTCGGCCCGGGACTCCCTCTGCTAGGCGTGTGCGAACCTTCTGTTGCTAGGGTTGGCTCCAACCTCGGCAGCTTTCTCCCCACCCACTTCCTGGAGCCATCCAGCTTGCTTCTCCCCCACCCTTCCGGGCTTTTTGCCTTTTGCCTGATAGGTAGAAATTTCGGCCCTCCTTGCAGACGAATGTATGCCTTACCTAAGATCTGGGAAGTCACGACTTTGTTTTGTTTTGTTTTCGGGCCCAGACACATTTGAGTGCTTGTAATAACTGACTCTCGGCCGGGCGCGGTGGCTCACGCCTGTATTCCCAGCACCTTGAGAGGCCGAGGCGGGCGGATCACGAGGTCAGGAGTTCGAGACCAGCGTGGCCAATATGGTGAAACCCCCGTCTTAACTGAAAATACGAAAATTAGCTGGGCGTGGTGGCGGGCACTTGTAGTCCCAGCTACTTGGGAGGCTGAGACAGGAGACTCGGGAGGTGGAGGTTGTAGTGAGCCGAGATCTCGCCACTGCACTCCAGCCTGGGCAACATTGCAAGACTCCATCTCAAAAATAAATAAATAAATAAAATAAAATAAAATAAAAAATTAAAAAAATTAAAAAAAGGAAAAAAAAAAAGCTGACTTTCAACCCTGTCCAGAGACTGTAAATTGCAAACTCGTTGTCCTGACGTTCTTCCGGTTAGTTGCCCTGTAAATAAAGCAACATCACTGCTATATTGTAGACGATTTTGAGAAGGAGATAAGCGACGGTGCTAAATTGGTATTGGCCACTAGTTTGCGAATTAATATTGACCCTAAAGCCCACTCCCTTGTTTGCATAATTGGGTCTGCCTCACTGGAAAACTGCCTCCTCATTTATCTATTTTTGCCGTAAGATTGTTTTTATGCCCTCAAATCCTCCCTTTCCTTTCCTTAGCAAACTTGCCTTGAAGAAATCTAATAAATTTGGGTAATCTTGATGTAAATAAGTTTAAAATTCCATCAATCTTGACATTGCATTTTCACAAACTGACCCTAAAGCCAAAGAAATTCTTTTCTGGGGGTGGAAATTCGAGCACCAGCAACCCTAGTAGAAGTATTATTTGAGGGTAGAGGACAGCCTTTAGCCCTGAAACTATCACCTGATTGTTTGCTCTGCCGCCTCTTAAGACTGATCTGGGACTATGGAAATAATCATGCTGATAATGATAGCTAACATTAAGCTCTTGCCTTATTGCTGTCACTGTTTTAAGTGCTGCCTGAGATTTTTCTGTCAATGGAACAGGTGAAGCTGTATGGAAAACTCTTTAGAGAATTCACAGGACTTTTTCTTTTCTCTGAAGCTGGTTTTGGATGTTAGAGGGAAGTTATTGATATATACAGATAATGGATAGCCAAAAGTCCTGGAATAATAGCATTACTAAGAGTTCTTATCCTCTACTCAACAGTCTGCAAAGTCTAAATGGCATGTGGCCTATACTTGGAATGAACATAAAAGAATATTGTCAATCAAATCTGAATTTTTCCATGAGCTTTTTAAGGGAAATTTTATCTAAACTGGTCATTCTGCCAGTAGGGCCCACGTTTAATGGAGCCCCTTTTTTGATGCATGTTTTCTGTGAGTGTGCTGGGCAATTTGTTTCAGTTTGCTGCCTCGGCACCTGGAAATCCCTTGTTCCAGCTTTTTTTCATAACATTGCTTTGACATTTTATTTTTAATTTTTAAGATTTCTAATAGGAAAAAAAAAATTCCTGAAAGAGAATGCAAATACTTAGTGTCAAGCATCTCTGCCAGGGCCACTAGTGCTTAGTCTATTGTTTGAGTTGCTTCTGACTCAGCTTACTATTTACTATAAGTTTGAGATAAAAAGCATCTTTTGGGCAAACAGAAACATAATTAAATACCCAAGTTAGTGCCTTTGGAATAGGTTCAGGAATAGTTCCTGAAAAGGTGGATTAAATTTATTTTTAATACATTAAAATTCAAAAATAAAAATATTTGAGTATTGTTGGATCTTGTAACCATAGAAGGTGATTTAGTTTGGGCTTTGGCATCAGAGACCTAAGTAAAAATTCTAGCTTTGTGACTTGTTCTTGCTATCTTGGAGTAAGTTCTTATTCAGTCTGTCTAAGCATTCTTATCTCCAAAAATAAGAATAATTATGGTATTTTCCTTATATAGAGTGTTATCAAGGTGATGTGTGAAAGCACTTACACAATGCATGAAACAAAAACATGTTTTCAAAAATGTTAGCTATTATTATAATATTGGAAATAACATTTGTTGAATAAATGTGTTATATATGATTCAGGTATGGAATTCTGTAAAAGTCTTTCTCTTTTGAACTTCAATAAGTTGGTTAAATAACACAGGGATAGAACCAGCATTGGGATACCTGTTCCCTCTTTCTCTATCTTCTTTAATGTGCATCAAGAACATGTTTTGTAGAAAGTTTGTGGGGATTTCACTTAGCAACAAGGCACAGTTGAAGGCCTCTAAGCTTTACTATGGGCAGGCAGAGTAAGGAATTCCCTTGCCTTACTATACCAGAGGCTGAGGATTTGCCGACACTTCAAAAGCAGCTCAGATTTGAATAGGTTCTTTCTTTCTCATTCTTTCTTTCTCTCTCTTTCTTTTCTTTTCTTTCTTTCTCTCTCTCTCTTTCTTTTATCTTTTCTTTCTTTCTTTCTTTCTCTTTCTTTCTTTCTTTCTTTCTTTTTCTTTCTCTTTCCTTTCCTTTTCTTTTTTCTTTCCTTTTCTTCTTTTCCTTTCTTTCTTTCTTTCTTTCACCTCCTTTCACTGTCCCCTATCATTAAAAGCTTTATGGCGAAGTTTTTATCTGCATTTTGGGGAAGGTGAAAAAGATCAACAATTGAAGCTTGAATATAATTCATGGAAATAATTTAGTCTGTTTATTCATCAAGTGTCTGAGTGCCTTTTATATGTCTATGTTTATGCTAGGGTCTATGAGAAATGCAAAAGACATTCTCTTCTCTGAAAATGTAAAATCTGATTGGGAGATAAACATTACATAAGATATGGTAACAGGGCTAAATTCAAAGATGAGGCTCATGCATGAGGAGGGAAAGGACCATTGTGGAATAGGGTGCTTGGAATATATTACAAAGGGGAGATGGGGCTTGGGCAGAGACAAGCTGGATAGGCATGGTTTGGATTAGGGAAGGGACAATGTACATGGAAGTTTTGTAGTGGCTATAAATTTGGTGTGTTAAGGGGGTGGGAGGTACCCTTTTCTATATGTATTTATACAGAGGCAAGCTCCTGCTGTTTGACTTCCTTCCTCTTCTACCCATTGTCTGGCTCTTCTTGCATTCATTTTCCTTTATTGTGTAAATTTGTAGATTTTTAAATTAATTAGCTTACTTAATTAACTAAAAATGCCTGTAGCTGAAATGATACAACCTTGAGAGATAAACTAAGGTAATATTTCCATTTTGTTCTGAAAGCTTATTACTATAGAATTAGGTAAACTCACTGGGAAAACTAATATGCGGTAATCTCCTGTTTTCCTTGGGTCCTTGATTTGTTGCACTATTTCACTGATTGTCGCCATTTTCTCTGATTGAGAAGTAAGCTTATCAATTATAAAAGCAGTGAGAATATTGTGTATTTCTCGACTTTGTATGTTAGGTATCAAATGTACATCCTGTCACAGAAATAATCCTATAATGGTGATAATACTGACTATTTTTTTATTTGAGATGGAATCTCACTCCGTGGCCCAGGCTGGAGTGCAGTGGTGTGATCTTTGCTCACTGCAACCTCCACTTCCCGGGTTCAGGTGATTCTCCTGCCTCAGCCTCTCGAGTGGCTGAGATTACAGGTGCCTACCACCATGCCCAGCTAATTTTTGTATTCTTAGTGGAGATGCGATTTCACCATGCTGGTCTGGAACTCTTGACCTCAAGTGATCCACTCACTTTGGCTTCCCAAAATGCTGGGATTACAGGCCTGAGCCACTGCCCCCCGGCCAATACTGACTTTAAACATTAAAGTGGAAGGAAGACTATGAAGTGGAAAAGGCTTGAGTACCTACTTTGTGCTAGGCATTCTAAAAAGCCCTTCCTGACCTGGTATAAGTCTATTGCCTCATCTCCCATCACTCCTTGCATGAACCCAGCAACTATATATAGTCTAATAAACAGGTGCTTGCCATAGACCAAAATGCATACCAGATAAATACGACTAAAAAATACTCCTAAAAGGTACAGTCCCAAAGTGTGAGCGTTCATCCTAGACAACCAAACTCCTCCTGCTTTTGTGGCTACACAGGTGCTGCTCTTTGCCCTGCCCTACCTCCCTTCCTCTTCTTTTCTGAATTAGGCTGTGCTCCTAAGTTGGATTAGTCCCAAAGTAGCCGGGGTGTGCCAGTGTCATAGGTATATTACAAATCTTAGTCTTTCTACTCTCCTTGAGGACAAGTTTTGTCTCTTTCATGTCCATGTACTGTATTCTGAGCTTGGCACAGAATATGTAGTTAGTAAATGTTTGATGCTGTAGTTCTATAGCCAAATTGTCTAATGTGGGGAGGGGGGTTTCTCCTGTTAAAATATCATTCATAGGTCCCATAGCAGATCTATTGAATCAAAGTCTCCAGAGATGGGACCCA